GGACCAGGTCCGGTTGTGGTGAAAGAGAACGTCAACTCCAGTGGCCAATCAGAGACGAGCTTGCTCTGATGCTGTTTATCTCATTTATGATTTAATAATAAAGTGTTGGTTGATTTCAAGTAGATATTTATTTCTATAAAAATCTTGAATTTTGTTATTTACTTTGTTTCGATGACAAAAAGGCTGAATTCATCTAAAATGTAGAGAAAACTAAAGGTTGTGCTCCAGCTTTCTCTCAGTAGTGCTTCTTAAGTTTACAGCAGAATAAATAGAAATGAAACATTAACTCCACTGTGCCGTTATGGTGCGTGTGTGATGCCAGGGCTTTAACACCTGTCTTATATCAACACTCTGAAGACTGTCGAACGTTGTCCACAGCTTTAATGACATTCAAAAGGGTGAAACTTAAAAAATAAGACAAACAATACAATTATAATTTGCGTAAGTACAGTATGATATACATTTATATAACACATTACTACTGTATACACGTTACATTCGTTTAAATGGGTAAACTCCTGCTACACATAGCATCTCAGATGACCTCACAAATCACAGATAACATAACAAAAATATTGATTTTACTGTCAAATAAAGTAAGTAAGTAAGTAAAAGTTTATTTTTAGAGCGCCTTTCACAGATATAAATCACAAAGGGCTGTACAACATGATAAAGATCAGGGCAAATACCTCTAACCAATAAAAACATCAGAAAAACAATAGCAGTGTTAAAATAGAAAATAAAATCATGAGTATAAACAAAGTGAAGGTGTGAACCCGAACAAAGCCATCATTTAGAACATTTAGGGAGGGAACGCCTGGATGAAAAGGTGAGTTTTTAGATGATTTTTAAAGACCTCTACAGTGTTAGAGAGACGGAGATTTGAAGGTAGACTGTTCCAAAGTCTGGGTGCAATAGTCTGAAAGGCCCTGTCCCCTTTGGTTTTCAGTCTGGTTCGAGGAACAGCCAGGAGGTTTTCAGATGTGGATCTAAGGTTCCGAGAGGTGGTGTGTGGGGATAAAAGCTCAGATAGGTAGCTTGGAGCCTGGTTGTTAAGAGCTCTGTAGGTCAGGACTAAAACTTTAAACTGTATTCTATATTCTACCGGGAGCCAGTGGAGGGACTGTAAAACCGGAGTGATGTGAGCTCGTCTGCTGGATTTGGTTAGGAGTCTGGCTGCTGCATTTTGGATGGCTTGAAGGCGTGAGAGGGAGGTTTTGCTGAGACCAGTAAAAAGAGCGTTACAGTAGTCTAAGCGTGATGACACAAAGGCATGGATGATTTTTTCCAGATCTGCAGTAGAAACCAGTTTACGGACTTTTGAAATGTTTCTCAGTTGAAAGAAACAAGAGCGGGAGATGGTTTTGACGTGTGAGTCTAAACTTAAAGCTGGATCAAAAATAACTCCTAGGTTTCTAATGTTGGCCTTGGCTGATGGGCAAAAAGAGGCAATTTGCTGCTCGATTTTTGGTTGAAGTTCCGGGGGTGCAGCGATCAGGGTCGCTGTCTTGTTAGCATTAATGCACAGAGAAGTTATTCCCAAAGGCAAAGTTACAAACTTCTAAACTGAGTTCACACCGGCGATGCGACCATAAACAGAAAATGTAGACTTCTCCCCAAAGAGACACAATGAACTGTTTACCTTCCTTGTCTTTGAGTTCAACTTCTGTTCAATAAAGTTTGTTCAAAATAAAACAGTTTCTATGGTGTGTTACTCAGAGTAACCACTAGAGGGGGCTGTAACATACATTGAACTGACAGTGAAAGGACATTATAACAATATTTTACCACCTTTGGTGATAACAGAACATTCATCATTTTACTTGTATTCTTTAAACTTTAATTTCTGGATTGTTTGGGTTATTATTGTGATTTTTATGTTATTTTCACATTTTATAAAGTTTTGTTCCCATGAGGAGAAGAGACCCTTTAATGTTTTAAACTACGTTTCTGGTTTTGTCTAAAACAATCATCAGAATCATTGTAAAGAATATTAAAACATTTAAACTCTTGTTTTCCAGCTGATTAAATTCTGCTTTTGTTCTGTTCCGTCAGTCTGCACTGGACCAACGACCTACCTGGAGCCCTGCGACAGGTGAGTCCGTCCCGTCGGTCCTGCTGACTGGACCCAGGAGGGTGTTGATCAGACTGTCTGGTCCTCTTAGATCCACCAGGTGCTGAAGCCTGACGGTGTCTTCGTCGGGGCGATGGTGGGGGCGGAGACGCTCTTCGAGCTGAGATGTTCCCTCCAGTTGGCTGAGATGGAGAGGGAGGGCGGGTTCTCCCCCCACGTGTCCCCCTACACCACCGTCACAGACCTGGGCAACCTGCTGGGACAGGCGGGCTTCAGCATGCTGACTGTGGTGAGTCTGTTGGATTCAGTTTCCATGGAAACGGCGTATTTTCTTACCCTGTGTTTTAATGGCTGGAGCTTTTAAACCTGAACAGGAACAAGTCAGAGGCTGGAGTTTGTCTTTGGAACCAGCTGATGTTCGTCCCCCTCTGATGTGTTTCAGGACATCGACGAGGTTCAGGTTTATTATCCGGGAATCATGGAGGTCATGACTGACCTGCAAGGTATAAAGATGGAGTCTCCACAGAACGCCAGCACACAAACACACTAAACCGTCACAGGGTATCGGACACACTGACTCGTCCCGAGGGATGAACCGGAGGGGACGGGACGATCAGGAGTCCTGTGTTTTTGTTCATGTGAGTTCGGCTGAAGGATTTTGACCGTCTTGGTGGACGTGATGTTTGCAGGAATGGCTGAGAGTAGCTGTGCCTGGAACAGGAAGTCGCTGCTGCACAGAGACTCCATCTTAGCAGCAGCAGCTGTTTATCAAGGTGAGTCCGAGGCCAGGATGCATGCTGGGTAAAAACAAATCAACTCACCCACTTCCTGTTTCTGAGCATCAGTCAGCTGACGCGTTTAGTCAGAGCAGCTTCCTGTGTTTGGTTCTGATCCAAAAACATTCTGTTCCACATCCGAGCCACAGCCTCATCCTTCTCCGTCTGTTTGAAACGTTTCAGAGATGTACGGGAGCAACACCGGCACCGTCCCCGCCTCCTTTCACATCCTCTACATGATTGGCTGGAAGCCTCACGAGTCACAGGTGAGCGAGATGTCAGCTGGTACCTGTTTGTTTGTTTGTTTGTTGGTGTGTCTGAGGTGTGGGCCAATCAGCAGCAGCCTGAATAAACCCCGCCCTACTGAACAGGAAGTTCTGATGATTTTGGGTTTTTTAAACTTCTGCTGAACTTTGTTCGTCATCCAAACAGGAAGTGATGTTGTTTTGGTTTCCAGGCGAAACCAGCGAAGCGAGGCTCTGCCACCGTGTCGTTTGGTGATCTGTCAAAGATCAACCAGCCGAGCAACAAGGACCCGTCCTAGAGCTCCGGCCTGAGCAGAATCGTCTAACGAAACGCCTGGTTCTGGTTCTGGTTCTGCCCGCTCAGGACAGGTTACTCTGGCTAGAACCCTCTGGATCGTCTGGTTCTGGTGGACATCAGCTCAGCTTCCAGCAGCAGAGAAAATTAAACGTAAATGTTATTTATGAATGTAAATGTTGTACAGAAACAGTTTGTTAGAAAATAAACAAAATCTCAGCGTGACTTTGTTCCCGTCGCTTTAAGACTTTTAATCACCATTCCTCAACACTAATGTTTTACTTCACACAGACCTGTCTGCAGCAGAAATCCGCGTGAGCATCTAAACTCAACATTACGGTATTCGCTTACATGTAAAAATAAAAGCATCAGAAGAAAAATTATACATTCAGAAAACAAGATGAGTTTTAATAATCAGGAACTTTCAGGCTTTTAAAACCCATAAATCTGTTTATCTTCTATTTGACTGAAACCAAAACCTTTTAATTAGAAACCACAGAAGACCGTCCAGCTGGCGGTTTCACAGGTTTTACAGAACATTTCCAAATGGCTCCAATGGTCAGTTAATGCCAAAGCTGCTGGTCCAGTCTCATCCCCGTCTCCTCTTGGTGGGACCGTGCGGAAGAACCCTGCAGAGGACAGGCGTGGTCTTTTTGTCTCTGGGTCTCTAATGTGAAGGATGAACATCAGTGAAATTAGGATCCGTTCATGAAAAACAGCTGCATACCTTTGGGATCCTCCTGGACGAGTTTTAAACCCACAGTGATCATGACTGAAACCTCCGTGCTGAAGTCTGAGAACTGACGGTGCTGCTGGACTCGATCACGGTTCTTCACTGCTCTTAGGCAAATGGAGACGTTACCTGGAGCAGACTGATAAAAGGTGCCTCTCCTCAGCATCAATGGAGACCTCAAGAACAGGTACGACAGACACCTCAGGTCCAAGGTGGACTGAGCGCTGGTTCAGATGTCTGAGACCATGTGTGTGTTCAAAAGAAAGCAGGAAATTTAACAGAGAATGACCAATGCACGGACACACACACACACACATATACACACATATACACACATATATACAGGTGCTGGCCAGTAAATTAGAATATCATCAAAAGGTTGAAAATATTTCAGTAATTCCATTCAAAACGTGAAACTTGTACATTATATTCATGCAATGCACACAGACCAATGTATTTCCAATGTTTATTACGTTTAATTTTGATATTTATAGGTGACAACCAATGAAAACATCAAATCTGGTATCTCAGAAAATTAGAATATTCTAAAGGCCAATGAAAAAATGTTTGTTTCTCTAATGTTGGCCAACTGAAAAGAATGAACATGAAAAGAATGTGCATGTATAGCACTCAATACTTAGTCGGGGCTCCTTTTGCCTCAATAACTGCAGTAATGCGGCGTGGCATGGACTCGATCAGTCTGTGGCACTGCTCAGGTGTTATGAGAGCCCAGGTTGCTCTGATAGTCGTCTTCAGCTCCTCTGCATTGTTGGGTCTAGCGTATTGCATCCTCCGCTTCACAATACCCCATAGATTTTCTATGGGGTTAAGGTCAGGCGAGTTTGCTGGCCAATCAAGGACAGGGATACCATGGTCCTTGAACCAGGTGCTGGTGGTTTTGGCACTGTGTGCAGGTGCCAAGTCCTGTTGAAAGGTGAAGTCTGCATCCCCATAAAGTTGGTCAGCAGCAGGAAGCATGAAGTGCTCTAAAACTTCCTGGTAGACGGCTGTATTGACCCTGGACCTCAGGAAACAGAGTGGGCCAACACCGGCAGATGACATGGCACCCCACACCATCACTGACGGTGGAAACTTTACACTGGACCTCATGCAACGTGGATTCTGTGCTTCTCCGCTCTTCCTCCAGACTCTGGGTCCTTGATTTCCAAAGGAAATGCAGAACTTGCTTTCATCAGAAAACATAACTTTGGACCACTCAGCATCAGTCCAGTCCTTTTTGTCCTTGGCCCAGGCGAGACGCTTCTTGCGCTGTTTCTTGTTCAAGAGTGGCTTGACACACGGAATGCGACACCTGAATCCCATGTCTTTCATGAGTCTCCTCGTGGTGGTTCTTGAAGCGCTGACTCCAGCTGCAGTCCACTCTTTGTGGATCTCCCCCACATTTTTGAATGGGTTTGTCGTCACAATTCTCTGCAGGGTGCGGTTATCCCTAGAGCTTGTACACTTTTTTCTACCACATTTTTTCCGTCCCTTCGCCTGTCTGTTAATGTGCTTGGACACAGAGCTCTGCGAACAGCCAGCTTCTTTAGCAATCACCTTTTGTGTCTTGCCCTCCTTGTGCAAGGTGTCAATGATTGTCTTTTGGACAGCTGTTAAGTCAGAAGTCTTCCCCATGATTGTGGTGCCTTCAAAACAAGACTGAGGGACCTTTTAAAGGCCTTTGCAGGTGTTTTGAGTAAATCAGCTGATTAGAGTGGCAGCAGGTGTCTTCTATATTCAGCCTTTTCAGAATATTCTAATTTTTTGAGATACCAAATTTGGAGTTTTCATTAGTTGTCACTTATGAATATCAAATTTAAATGTAATGAACATTGGAAATACATTGGTCTGTGTGCATTGCATGAATATAATGTACAAGTTTCACGTTTTGAATGGAATTACTGAAATATTTTCAACCTTTTGATGATATTCTAATTTACTGGCCAGCACCTGTATATATATATATATATATATATATATATATATATATATATATATATATATGTATATATATGTGTGTATATATATATATATATATATATATATATATATATACATATATATATATATATATATATATATATATATATATATATATATTTTTACTCTAGAAGGTGCTATATCAAATACAGGCCATTTACCATTTATTTACATACATATATATATATATATATACATATATATATATATGTATGTATATATATATATGTATATATATATATATATATATATATATATATATATATATATATATTTTTTTTTTAACTCTAGAAGGCGCTATATCAAATACAGGCCATTTACCATTTATTTACATACATATATATATATACATATATATATATATATATATGTATGTATATATATATATATATATATATATATATATATATATATATATATATATACGTATATATGGGCCACAGATCCTAACAAAGATCAACCCCAAATTGATGTGGAACGCAGATCGGACCAGGAGGACAAGGTATGACCCTCTTCAAACTGGTGGGAAGCTCTCGTTGCTGTGATCAGTAGAGCTGTTCTGTTTCTATTCATCCTGAGCCTGACAGTCAGTATGGAGGGCAGAACCAAGGAGTAAGACCAGTCCTGAGGTGGTATACCAGAAGATCCAGAACACGGGGAAGGCTGGAATCAGAAAGACCTAAATGTTCCACCATCATGGAGACTCTAAGCAACACCTCACCTGTAAACCAGAACCTCTGAACTGATGTGATGGAACCCAAAGAATGCTGCAGCATGACCACCATCTATGTTCTGCTCCAGAACCCCCAGTGGTTAAACATTTATGATTCACACTAGAATCTGATTTTTAAATGTTTAGCAAAACAGATAAAATATAAATGTACCGATGTGGGAGATGGTCTAAAGGGAGACTCAGGACACGCTGGAGAGACCATGGCTCATGGCTGGTCAGGGAACGCCTTAGGATGTCCCCGGAGGAGCTGGTCCAGGTGGCTGGGGAGAGGGACGTCTGGGCCTCCCTACTGCCCCCGCGACCGGTCGGCAGACAAGCGGCCGAAAATGGATGGATGGATAAATATAAACGCATGAAGGAATGTGTTTTGTGATTTAGCACAAACATCATTAGTGAATTATTAAAATTACTGATGCTCTGGCAGTTTGAGTTCTGATTAAATCCAATTATATGAGGAGAAATGTTATAAATGCATGTTATATGGTATAAATGAAATGCATGCAAAAAAACGATAAACAAACACAATAAAATACAAATGAGGTAGCCTAGAAATCTAGACAAACTAACAGCAGGAAAAGGTTTCAATCTGCTCAGGATGGCTTGGCTTCGGGACAATAACTCACTGAGATCAGGTGGTGCACAGTTGTGAGGAAGAGCAGCATAA